CTTTCTTTAGGAACTGCTTTGCCAAGCTTTATAGTGCCTAGCTGTTCTTGAACTTCTTGCTCGGTGATGTGCAGGCTGCCTTGTATCCCTGTGAGCGGGAAGTCGTCCCCTGCTCCAAACAGTTCAATGGAGTATTCCTCTAATTGTCTACGTTCTTCCTTGGCTGTTAGGAAGCGACCCTCTGAGTCACGTAGCTGAACTCTTTCCTGAGGCCTCCCCGACCGGAAGCGCTTGATCACCTTGTAGAGGGAATGACTCCCGTCTTGCTTGGATTTAAGCTCTGCCTGCTCAAGTTGTTCATCTATTTCCTGTCGCCGCCTTTCCTGCTTCTGACGCTTTGCTACCCTCGCCTGTGCACTTTGCTGAGACAGCGACAGCCAGCAGCGAAATACCATTCGGACCTGCAACTCCGGCAAGAACTCTGCTAAGACCTTGACTGACATTGGGAGTGAGCGCAACACTGTGCGCTCTGCCCAAATGCTGAGATCTGATCTTTGTGCTGCTCCCTTTCTCTTGGGAAAGTGAGTCGCGAGGGCTGAGTTCATTGCTTGATGGAGACTCTGCCAGGTTTGGGGATGATCCTGAAGGAGGGAGTCTACCTCCCTGGCAAATGCCTGTATTTTCGGGGAACGGTGTCTGTAGCAGTCCTCCATTGCCTGCTGGTCATAGGGTTTTGAGGCTTGGGCGGAGTATCTCCTGCTGTGCCTCAGTTTACCAAGAAGGGGGAAATGCCTACTACCATCCCTCCAGGATGCCACTGGGAAGGTCCTTAGTGGCCGGCAAAACCTGGCAGGGCCTTGGGACTGTGCAATCCTGACAAACGAGAAGTCAATCTGTGAAACAGAGTTGCCTTGTTCGTGGGTGGCTGGTCTATGCACTCCCCAAGTGTTGGTTGCGACTAGCTGGTGCTCCGACAGTAGGGTCTGGAGATCCTTAGATCCGCGATGCCCGAGTCTGCAAGCCTGGATCGTGCATGGCCCTACGTGTTTGTTGTCGGTCTTGAGCGAGGAGTTAAAATCTCCTAGCACAAGGAGAGTGTTGCGATTGGGAACAGCTCGGATGGACTTACTTAGGGCGTGAAGGGTCTGCTTCCGGGTTTCCTGATTCTGAGCGACAGTCTCCTTAGAGCGCCAAACGTATTGATAGCAGCTGAAGACGTCCAGTGAGATGCCGTTGCTCGGCACCCGGACCTGGAGAACTCTTCCTGGAACAACCTCGTTGTAGCGAAGATCCTGTGACTTGCACAGCGTGGAGTGCACCATTATGAGGACCCCGGCTCCCTTCTCCCCTGTGGAACCAGAGCTGATCACGTGCCAACCTGACTTGCTGAATTGCCATGAGCCCCTCCAGTGTGTTTCCTGAATTGCTACCAGCTTCACATCCTGAAATGCTGCACTTTGCAGTACGGAGAGTAACTCTTCCCAAACTGCTGTTGTGAGAGATCCTGCGTTCCAGGATAGATAGCTGAGATTCTTATCTTCTGTAAATTTTGAAGGCCGAGTCCTTCTGCCGGGATTGGTGGGCTTTACATGTGCCGGAGCAACTCCAAGCTCTGTTGACGACATCGTCCTTCCCTTGTAGACCGCACTACCTTCAAGCAGAGCTTTACGTGCTGCCCTTTGATAAGAGCGTTTACCCTTCCCTTTAGGAACGGGCTGATGCTTGGTCGAACCACTAGGCTGTTTCGCAGCACTCATGTTGAGTACGGCTCCTGTCGGCTTCGCAATACCGACAACCCTCACCTCTGGGAGATGTTAGAGAGCTGTAGATCTAATACTCCCTCCCGGACTTGGGACCGGGACTGCTCAGGCGCTGACAAATGCCATGGCAAGAAAGGAAAAAGGCAACTGTACTAGCCTGACCTTTCCTGAGCCGAGAGGCTTAGAACAACCACAACAACAACAACAACAACCACATCCACAACCGTAAATACTGACAAGATCAACATCAACAACGACAGCAAAGTGGAGAACGACGATGACGAAGCGACGAACGTTAGAACAAGAAACAGAAGTAAAGTTGTGACTGTCGCAACGGTGGCGACATGTGAAACCTGGATGCGATACCAATAGAGAAGCCCAAAAAACATGGAAAAGTGAATGAAGGACAACGGCACGAACCAGTATTTCGGGAATCACCACTGCCTGGCGAGCCCGCAATCAAAACAAAAAACAATCGAACGAATCCCTTCTGAGCAGCGTCTTAGGCCCGCACAAAGGAGACCCTTGCAGAAGCCGTGCTGATCGAAAGTTGCAGCGTTTGCCTTCCTCGGGTCAGGCTTAAGGCTTGGAGGAATATGCTACAGGAAGCTACGATGCTTGCAGCTGCAATTTTGCCTGGCTATGCTAGGATTGACCTTGAACTCTGACGTTTGTGACGTACCCTTTCGTGCATATAACATGATGCTTCTGGTTAGCGGGAGTGGGGCAAGCATGTTCATGTTTTCTGGCTCTTCTGGGCATTTCGACCATTACAACAACTCAGCTTCTTGCGCCATGGTGGCTTTTCTTCTCCTTTGCTATTATGTGTATTTGTGATGGATACTCGGGCTTCAGGCTTTGCAGCCTTGTGTTGATGCGGGTGCAGCCGAAGATGAGGCCTTAATCAGTGAAATCTTTCGCAGCCCTGTCACATCGTCGACCAAAGGGCGATGAAGCTTAGCTGTGCAGAGAAAGCGCAAGCCTGCTGTAGGCTGACCTGACACACGTTCAGGCACTACCAAACGGGATCTATAAAAAGGTACATACAAGTGTTCTATACATCATTCTACAACCGCTTGGGTTTTCCGGATTCGGTTTTATGACGATGGTCAGAGGGGTTCAGGGGTTCGGCTTCGGTGTTTCCTGTTGCAGCAAGTGCAAAGGACTTCGCAGACGTGCCAAAAAGTATTCGTGCTCTCTTGTCGTTTTCCTTGCCGGTTCTATCCCACAGTTCCCCAGGTTCAGGTCGGTACCAGTTTTCTTGTCGGAACAGAACCTGGCCAGGAAACTCAGACACCCTCATTTGGGAGCTTCCGAGAATTGGGGGTACCTTATTTCCGGGTCCCTATAATAGGGATCCTACTGTTCAGGGTGCTTTTGTTGGGGTCCCCTACTTTCGGAAACTCCCTTTTTTGGCACAACAACTCCAGGTCTCCTTACGGCAATCGAGGTGATGAGGTGATGGCTGAAAAGAAGCTTTTGGGGGCCGGGTGTCGAGTTCGCGCCTCATCCAGTTCCGGGACCAGGGAAGAGAACGCGGGGCGTTTAGGTCCCGGGTCCAAAAAACGCGTGGCTCGGGTGATAATTCCGAATCCCACCCTGAGACACCGAAAGAAAACAAGCCTTTAAAAGAATCCAAAAAGGATATGCGCACCAACGCCCATCAGGGATGCAAGAGGCCAGGAAGAACTCGAAAGCAGAACACAACTGCCCTCCGCACCCGTCGTCCCTTCAACCTGAACCCGAACTACCCATCCGTCCAAAACCAAAACACCCGCGATCCCCAAAACTCCTCAGAAGCCTAGGTTGAAGGTTGTAGAGGCACATGGTCGCCGAAAGCGAAGCCGCTGACAATCACTATCAGGGCGTCCTCTCGAGGCAGCTGCTAGTTGGGAAAATGATTCTCGCGGGCTTCTCCTTGCAGTCGGTCTGGTTCTTATGGGGTTTTCTGCGTCTTCCTTGCGGCTTGTAAGGTTTCCTCACCGCTGCCTTGAGACTCGGAACCGGGGGCTTTTGAGGTGCAAGGGCTGGCCTCAAGAACCATGGAAACCCTAAATCCAAGGCCCCATGCTCCACGCTGCAAGAAGCACAGGCGCCAAACACAGAAGCCCACAGCAGAAGCTTCCCTGGCTGCAAGAAGGCCTCGGGGGAGCCTCTACTCTGGTACAGGGAGAGTAGAATCGTCCGAAGTAACAAACAGCACGAAGGACCAGAAGTCGTTCAAAGTTCTCCCATAATATCAGAACGCTTCAATATCTTTGCGGAGCTACCATATTTTGCTAGAACACATCAGAAGGATTCAAGGCAAGCATCGGGACAAATACCAAAATATTGATTAGCGGTGTAATGCAAGTCGGAGTCGGAGAAATCATGCCAGCAATGATCGGGTTGGGAGCTTCGGACTTGCATAGCACTGCTTGGGAGAGTCAGCTACCTTCACCAGGTTCGTCAAGATGAAGGCCACGGGGGAGCCATTTTTCCTTAGGTCTGCGGGCTCCCCAATGCTGAAAGGTCCACCACCACCATGCCGACTGGCCGTCATCAGCATGGCCAGTGCCAACATCATCGCTATCATGACAAGCAAAGCCTCACAGAATGCGGGCCTGAACTCTGCGCAGCTTCGTAGATGAAGATGGCAAGCATCAAGAGCTTAGAGTGCTAGTGTCAGGGTTTATGGCTCACTTCTGCACATGGCTAAAAGCATTCGGAGCAAGCATCAGGTAGTTGGCGATCACCAAATTCAGAACGAAGGCACAGAGAATGTTACCTGCAAAACTCGCTTCGGTTTTCCTCGGGCTTCATTGGCTTCAGGCCTGGATGGGTTTTTGCGGCTTCCGCTTCCGGTCTGCACAAGCTGTTTATTCTCCTAGCTGCAGCGATTATCAAGCAGACCCCGACCGAAATAGAACAGAAGAAAGACGGGATCATATAACAAGATCCCTAGCTCCATCCTCAGCCAACCTTGGCGTTTCTGGCCTACAGGTTGTCAGGCCCCGAACTGGGACGGGTAACTCGAACTCAGCAATGAGAATCTTGGCACTCTCGGCCGACGTCTCTGCACAGCCACTGTGGGCTTTAGGGCTGAGGATCTAGGGTTGGGGGTTCAGGGTTTGGGGGTTCAGAGTTTGCAGCTTCGGGTATACATGAGAAGAACCTGGAAGACATGGGATCGCGGCCGGGTTCTGCACGAGCGGACGCACAAGACCCAACTTTAGATCTGCAAGCCGGCCGCGACTGAGCTGCTCCTACACTACACTGCGACTGGCAGAGTGAGTCCAACATTTGCACGACCACGTCAAGTCATGCCACTGCAGGCACAAGCCCTTTCGAGCTTTGAAGCTGAAGGCACCGGACCCCGGCACCTGCCAACAGCAAGCCACAGCGTCGGAAGGTCTCAGCCGCAGGAAGAACGATCCAAGACAGGGCGTGGACCTGCAGCGCACGGCTTCTTTGGATTCTTGTAAAGAAGACACGCCACGTAAACTGGACAACCTACCCGCCCCCACCCCAACAACATGAAGCGGCCATCGAAGATGTTAGATTGTCGGACATTAACATGGTTTGCCAAGTACGATCGGACGCTGGAAACCGGACACCTGATGCCAACGTGCCAACGTGCCGACTGGCTTTTTAGAAGAGCCACACCAAACTGCTTGCCCCGAGTCACTGGCGTGAAGGAATCAGACTGAAGCTTACGGGCCTTCGAGGACATTTAAGACTTCGAGAGTGAGTTCAAGGCTGCCAACAATATCCAACAATCAACAACCAACCCACTTCTGGGAAGAATAGCCTGGTTAGGCATAACCTCAAGTAAGACTTCGATGTACAAGTAATACTTTGACGGACAAGTTAGCAGCAACCCAGCCAAACCCCGAAAGGCAACAGCAACGTCTGGAACTCCGTGCCATGGAATCCACGTAATAAAGTACAAAAGCCAAGTTACCAAGTTCCCAAGGTCCAAAGTCACGCTTAACTGCCCAAATGTCGAGAGGCTCGCGGCTGGAGCAGAATGAGGCCTGTCTCATTGCAAGACAAATGGCGCAATACTTTGTGCCTGGAAGGATGAACGAACAAAAGCAGGCAGACTGGAAGTCGCAGTGGAGCAGTAATGTACATAGTGGATCATAGTGGTACTAGAAGCAGCACTAGTGGTAGTGGTAGTCGTGAGTAGTAGCAGGAGCAGCAGTCTCAAGTCACGAATGGTCTGTCAACTCGCACTTTGGGTGCATGGTCATCACCATCGACATGACCATGACCGTCTTTAGCATCACCGTCACCGTCACTATCACCATCAATTGCAATCAATATCCGTGCCGACCGTCATCGTCATCATCACCATTCTGGTAGGCACTGTGGCAATGCTTATGACCACGACAACACCTGAGCAACTCGTACTGAATGAAACCACGACTGCAAAACAAAGCAGATAGCAGGTGATGAACAACAGCATTCCTATGATACTTATGTTGTCTCTGATCTTACAAACAAATATAACAACGGCAATCGTTGTAATGATTAAAACCAGGAACAATCGCCATCTTCGTACTCATACCATGGAATGCAATGTTACACTGAACTCTATACATATATGTACATATACATCTATTGCTTTTCTTTTCTGTGTTTGCATTTCATTCTTTCTTTGTGCCTATATTTGTATACACATACATACATGCATATATATATATATATGTATATATATATATATGTACATCGTCATGTGTTTGCGGTGTGTTTGTTTTGTTTAGTAATTTTTATCTTTGTTTCTGATTTATATTTGTAGTACAGATGTGCGTGTATGTATATATATATATATATATGTAAGTAACTATTTGTTTATTTATCTTTTAATGTAGTATGTATTGCTGTATCTATTTACATACATCTGCGTGTAGATATACGCATTTAGTATTGTTATTGCTATTGTACAAATACTTATACTGGTAGCTGCAAAACGTTAAGAACAAACGCAAAAACAAGTACAATTATTCCCATTGTTGTTAATAGTGTTCACCCTAACCCTCAAGCCCATAAAACAGACGGTAAACTCGGGAAAGCAAGAACAGCAGCAAAGATCTTGGCAGTACCACAGACAAAGGACAACAATAGCAAAAACAGCCATCTTGCCAGTCAAGAAGACACATGACAATGCTGTACACAAGACATACTGACCATAAGAAGTGGTAACAAGACTGCAAGCTTCATTGCCATAGTGGTACAAAAAATGTCCAACAAGTAGCTGAGAAAAGGAAGCAGCTGCTCACTCCTCCACGGGATAAGCGGCCTCCTAGGAGAGCGCCGCAGAGCGGCGAGACGACGGCTACGAAGGACATGGGGTCGAGCCGAAGAGCACCTTAAAGAGCGGAGGCTTCCGGACGTCCTTCTCAGAAACCTTGTGGAGCTGCAGGATTCACTGCCGTGAACTTCGGAAGCAAGTTCTGGAGGCATGCTTGAGCACCCAATGTTTGTTCTGGCCTGAAATCAGAGAGTCCAAGGATCTTCCGAAGTCTTGCCTTCAGCAGCCTCTGCTGTAACATGTAGCTATGTGAACACTGTCGCGTCGCAGTCCCGGAACTCGGAAGCTGAAGGAAACCCCGAAAAAGTGGAAGCCAAACTCAGCCCGCGGCCAGAGAGCAGAACTCCTGAGAGTCTGGGGATCGAGACAACTTGGACTCTGGAGCGAAGCCCTGAAGAACAGGACTGGCAAGTTGAAAGCTTAGGGCTCAGGGCTGTCTGCCCCGCTTCTCCAGACTCCAGGCCTCCCAGACCCTAGAGCCCTAGATGTCCTTGCATCACGACCTTCGAGGACTCCGCGAAGTTGCAGAGCAGCTGTATGAGGAGCCTCGGGGCCCCGAAGCCGAGGTAAACTTCCCTCCTCCACTCCCAGGGCCCCTATGGCTGCAACGCACTAGGGCCTAGGGAAGAGCCGTGGTGGACCCAAAAGCCTTTACCCCGAAGACTCTCCAGGGCTTCATCAACCCGGGTTCGCTGCCTTGACGCGGATATCCCGAGTGTTAACACCGATGCAAAACATGAAAAGCTCTTGTGTAGCACGAGGATGTCGAGGTTCATGACATTTGAGCAGAGGTGAAGTTTTCGGACTCGAGCTCTGTTGGAGAACAGGCACCCCGTGAGCGAGAAGTTCACCTCGCCATGCACGGTGAGTGTCGTGGCAAGCATGACCTGAGCAAAGCAGGAAATCTGCTGATAACTGAGAGGGACCTGCTTGGTCTACGTTCTACAGATGCCTCTCGTCATCTCATCTTGCATTTCACATCTCGCCATTGCTCTCTCGCTCCAACTCAAGTCCCCAGCATATCTAGTGCCAGCTTCCTATGCTTGAATGACAACATGCAAGAAACATCAACAAACAAGACTGCACACGAATAGCAGGCTCTGACCTGAATCGCAGTGCGACCCGAGCCGCGCCAAAAAGCACGAAAACCAGTCGGGCACGGAACCTCGCACGAGTCAGGGAGTCTTCTTTCGGATTTGGGGGGGGGTTCGAAGATTCGGAGTTGAGGACGACGTTCAGCGCGGGCCTAGCACTGACACTGGGCCCTGCTGGGCCCTGCTGGGCCCTGCCCTTCTTCTTCGAAACCTTCCTTTCGGCTCCAGGCTTGAACTGCCAGCGGGCTCAAGCCTTCCAGAAGCCCTACAGGGCGAAGTTTCAAGAGTTCTTGTGAGGACAAGGGCTGCGGCCTACAGGGGGGAGATATTTTGATGGATGCCGCACACTCGCGCAAAGATGACCTCGGTTTGGGGTTTGCAGGGCGGGGTCTAAAGAGATCTGTGAACCTCGTGCAAGGCACTTCAGGGCCTTTTTAAAAACACTGAAACAGACTTCGGGTTTCAGGTTTCGGCAGCTCACGATAGCTATTCTCCGAGGAACTGCTCCAGTCCCAGCAAGAGCGAAAGCATGAAGACGATGATCACGTTGCTCTGCTTTATCATCTGCAGAAAAGGTATGCTAGCCTTGGCCGGACTTCTACACTAAATGAGGGTTCAGGGTTTCGGGAATGCAATGGGGCCCTCTGGCACCACGCATGAACCTTTCATCCCACTGTCCCACACACGGGACTTGAATCAATTCTGGATCACTGCACGGGGGCCGCTGGCTATGCAGGGATTTTGGAATCCAAAACTTGCAACACTCGCGACATGGAGCAACCCTAAACCATACATCGTACACTAACGCTTGTGGCTTCAATGCTGGGGAGTTGTTTGAAGTGGTTTTCCAGCCTTACAGGAGGATTCCTCATCTTCTGCCTCAAAGCCGACACACTGCTGGGTTGATTGAGACCCGACCCCCCCCAACGGCGTTCACGTAACCTTCGCTTGAACTCCACCGAAGCCGAACCTCCCCAAAAGAAAAGCTTTGAAGCCACTGAAGCCACCAAGGCTCATACTGGTACGCGGTGTTGCCTGGGGTCGCTCCCGTAAATTTCGGGCTTCGGGTTCGGGGGAGTAAACGGGCGGTTCCTTGCAGCTTGGGCCGTCGACCTGGCTTCGGTAGGACAAAAACTCTCACACACTGTCAGAGTCCGAACGCTTGTTTTTTTGCAGGTTGGATGATTTGAAGCTGGAGCTTCTAGGCTGCAACAATGTAAGATTAAGAGTGTAGGAGCATTGAGCATCGGCCTTCGACAAGTTCGAAGGGGCTTTCGAGGTGTCTGACATTCGATGTTCGTAAACAAAGCAGAATCCTATCATCCAGAAAACCCTCCTCGCCCTCGGGATTTCGGGCCTGGGGTTGGAGGTTGAAATCCCAAGCCAACTAAAGGTGTCCAACCCGCCATTCCAGGGTTTAGGAGTTTAGGAGTCTTTAGGACGTTAGGGTTTAGGCGGTCTGGGCAAAAGCACCGGTAAGCCGAAAGGCTACACACAGGATCCCATCGCTGCGACTAACAAAGCCCTTACAGAAAAGGCACCGACATGCCGGGGCCGGCCCAAGAAGCTTTCGCGAGCATCTGTGCTTCTTGCTTCGCAGAGTCTAGGTCTAGGTCCTAGCCTCCCAACAGCAATGTCTGCTTATCGCGTAGGTACTGCACTCTTGTACCCCTCTTCCCCCCAACACAGAATCGAGCGGCTCAGTATCAGCGACGTCACGAAGGCCAAGCCGACGGGCATTACGCGAGCCACGAGATGGAGGTCGACGTGTCCCTGGCGTCTGCGGCGGCGTCCGGAGCCCAGAGGTTTCATTTCTCTGGGAATCTTCCTTCAAGCCGACTATGAACAGAAAGACCTGCGATCATGATCTAAGGTTCTATCACTCTCGTTCTTTCTGCCTCGTCCAAGAATAACAGTAAGAACGTGGAAGGCAAGAAACGACAACCCTCTATTTCTCCCTGCCATCCATGAACCCTAACGTGACAAACCCTAAGGTCCCTCAACCCTCCTTTACAGGACCCCGAAACCCTAAGCGCCCGCAGACCGAAACCCGCTTGGGAGGTTTCGAAGCTCGGCTGTCGGCAATGTGTATGCTTGTTTAATCCGGTGGGATTTCTTATGCGTTTTTGCCGGGGCTTAATCGAGCCCCTAATGCGTTTTGCTTTTGGCCGGCGGCTTGCTTTGTTGTTGGGATCTTTCTTTTCTGCTCATGGTCAATCTTAAACCACTCTCCAAACCCTAAAACCGTAGCCCTGACGCCCGCAGCTCTCCCTAAACTCGAAACCCGGCTTAAGCCTGAACCCTAAACCCTAAACCTTAACCATATTGTACCACTGTGCTGCTACTATACTACTACCACTGTGCTATTACTGTACTACTACTGTACTGCTGTACTACTGTACTACTATCGTACCATTACGGTGGTGTTGACTATTACTGTATCACGACTGTACTACCGAACAATACCAGGCCTGAGACTTTGTCGATTGTGGAGGGGAGCATGTCTTCAAAATGAAAGGTTTTTAGTCTTGGTAGTTCCCTTGGTGTGATCGGGGCTTGGTTTCGAACTTTTGGCCATCCCAAAACCCTCTAAACAGCTCTAGGTACCCCTAAACCCTCGTACTGTACTGCTATTGTACTACCGTACTACGACTGTACTACTACTGTACTATGACTGTACCACTGTACTGCTACTGTATACGAGTGCTGCACTGCTACAGTACTACTTGGCTAGGGAGCGCAGGCTGGAAGGAAAAGTCTTCAAAATGAAAGGTTGCAAGTCTTGGTAGTTATCTTGGAGTGATCGGGGCTTGGCTTCGAGCTTTTGGTGATCCCGACCCCGACCCGAGGTTCCGCGGAGCACCGGAGAACCGCAGACACCCCACCCAAGCCCCCCCAATGACTATTCAAGCCAAAAGGTTTTGGTCGAGGCGGGGGGGCCCTGTCATTCCAACCGCGACATTACACTTGCCACTGCCACAATGCCTAAGACTCGACTTCCAAAACAGAAACAAGGAAACATTCACTTTTGTCATTATTTGCCGATGCTGCCCTTGCGCACACTAGTCACTAGTACTGCTGCGAGGGACTTTGCAGTTACGATTTGTTGATGCATGTGTCTCGGATTGGTACGACCGATGTCGTGTGTCCCCTTCTTTATCGCTCCCGTTGTTACGATCGTTGCCTTCTTGCGACCGTTCCTGATACCAAACTAAATTCTGTTGGCGCAATGGCCGGCTGCTGCCGCCACCAGCGCTGCTATTGTCGCAACTGCCGCACATGCTACTCTCATCTTTATTTGCTTTCACCACTATCGTTGCTACTGGTCTAGTCTCGTAGCCGTCCCGAAAATTTCAGTCGTATGTGAGACGATGAGTGCCAAAAGCCGTAACGGCAGCAGGAGAGATTCTCGAAAGCTCTTATATGGCATGCCACAGCTGGCATCTTACAATAACTTCATTGCAGATTAGCAGTAAAGGGGCTCCAATGACGCCGCCTTCTTGTCTGGATCTGTGAGGGCCGGGAACAGTCTCGGAGCGACCAGAAGAAGCAGTGTGCTCAGCACGGAGCCACCTTTTTGCGTTCAACCCTGGGTTTGGGACTTGGGACTGGGTGGAACCCTGGGAAGCTTTTGCTTACGCGGTGAGTCGATGAAGGCACTTCCCCTTCGGGCTGTCAATACACAGGCCGGAGGGTGATCCAGCGAGATGCATGGTCTGAGCTGCATTGGGATCTCTTGTGCTTCGCACTTCGGGCCTTCGGATGTCTTCGGCGCAAGACATTTTTCGAGCTTGCCGTGCAGCCTACCGTAGGGCCTTATGAGAGAATCACCAGCACTCTTGCAACCGCGGCCTCTGAACTCGATTGAGACTGCTCAAAAAACTTTCACCCGTACAACACCAGTTTCCCAAGCCCAACGCGAATTCTGCGAGAACTGAAACGAGGCATTAAAACCGCAACAATGTTCACAAGCTGTGTTGAAGCCCATTGACCCGAGCAAAGGGCCGAGAGGGTGGACTTGGTGACGTGTTCTTGGAGTTCTGGGCTCTCCGGAGGTCTCCACTCTGTTCGGGATGGCGAGTGGAGCAGAGGGGGCAAGGAAGAGATCCGGAAAGCTCGTTGAAAAGTCTTGGTGCCCTCAGCAAGTGGACCTCCGTACTAAGTCACTAAGTGCGACCTAGGCACCGGCCATGTGAAGAAAGACCAACCTCGACTTGAACAACAGCCGACATCACGAGACTCGGCAACTCCATGGAGTCTCAAAGATGTCCTTCCACTTGCGGTAGCGGAGATTCAAGAATTGGCCAGAAAATGCGAGAAATCCAGCTGGTCCCGCCGCTGCTGCAAAGCGTGCAGTCCAAGCCACATCACCGGATAGGGGAACCTTGCACCGACATGCGTGGCTTTCGAACTTGTGCTTCTCGCAAGTGGTCTGAGTCTGGGGATTCCATAAAGACCCTGCTTGGGTTGTCGGGCTCGTTGTCAGCAGTGTGAAAAGAAGCAACTTCGCATGACGCTTGATTTTCGGGCCAGTGTTTTGTCATCGGGGGATGGCGACAAAAATCGGTGCAGAGACTGACACAGCATAGCGAGTTAAGTGCATACTGAATGGATCTCTGCATCGAACCCACATCCATCCCTTGTCAAGAATGGTAGTCTGCTTCTTTTGACCTGCATCTTAAGCGAAAACATCGCAAGGAATGTTCAAGAAATAACTTGTCTGCGCCACCGGGAAGGATGAATCAAGTACTTGTTGTAGGTAATCAGCGTGGCAGAAACTGCGATGAGAGCCACGCTCCAGAAGACCTCATCAAACGGCGCCAGGTCTGGGATCCGAAATGTTGGCATTTTCAGGTTGCAGTATCACAAAATATTCTGGTACATTACAACTACAATACATTGCTGTATTGTATAGTACATCATAATACATGATGTAGATTGTAGTGTTGCACATTACGGGAAATTGTGGCTCGGAGGATTTCAAACAGGACCGTGGCAGTACTGCATCGCTTTCCCTTCTTTCCGCTGCAAACTGTGCCGCCGCATAGTGATTTGCACAGCGAATTCTCCAACCCCGAGATCTCAATTCCTGTACCTACAAGCCTATCGACAAAACCAACAACTATTGCTTCGAATGAAGATGTGCTGCCTTGGGCAGCAGCTTGCGGGCATCATCATGCAAGAGAGGCTTTTCCTCCAATGACTCCAAAGCCTCCTCCGCGCGCAAACAGGGTTTAGCTTTCAGGTTTCGGGTTTTATAGGTTCCAGGCTTTCTGTCAACGATCTGGCATCATTGGACTTGTCAAAAGTCTTTCCGTCGTTTTTGGGCAGCACATTCATGTCTCCGGCCCGTCAGTAAACTTGCAAACTCCTCGTCGGTCTTTGCGGTCTTTGCTGCCATTGCTTCCGAGACCAACTTTCCTCGGCTTAGCGGAGGCTACGCACGCCAAGACGATCAAATTTCTGGAAGCAAGGTAGCTCTTCCCAAACAACCTGCCATCCGGCTTCGAAACCTGCAAACGTGGATCTTGAAGGCTCTTTAACTCTGAATACGGATACTCACTCACACCGCTCCACACCATCTATCGACGCATAATAGGAACATATTTTGGCACATCCAGACAATCTGACGTGGTGTGTCAATTTGTCAGCGGGTCTTAGGATCAACACTCCCAAACAATCCGAAACTCCTCTTTGGTGGACAACACCTTCAACCTCACGTTTGGACATGTACCGAGGCCAAGCATCAATATCGAATGTTGCATGTAGTTGGTTGGTGAGGCGTAAAAGCGACGAGCCAAAATGGCTGTTCCGACCACGAAGTACAAACCAGTCTGGAGGAGATAAACACGCAGCATTTGCCTCAAATGTGGTCAAACGCACACACGTCCTTCGTTCAGACGCGCAACACAGTGCATGCAAAGCACGTTTCCCGTTCGCCTTTCGTCCAATAGATCAGGCATGCGGGTTCAATCTATAACAGTGGCATGTCGTGTCAACAACACAATTGATAAACATGTATCATTGACACCGTGTGTATGGTTGCAGCTAATCAACACCATGACACAAACAACAAGTCGCTTTGTTCTTGACGCTGTTTGAAAAACTTGTCCAAGTTGTTGCTCAATATCGCAACAGCAGATGATCGCACAAAGCAGCCCCGATTTTCTTTCGTGGAAGCACCACACCTGCAACATTTGGATCTTTTCAGCTTAGTTACGATCACTGGTAACTACAGGTGCCGTCTCTTTCTTCAGCAGTTATTCCAGGAGCGTTGCCACAAACCTTTGAAAATGGTTAGCAATCAAGCTCACTGTTTTCGTGTCGAGGACATTCCAAGTAGAGATCACGTACACACGCATGGTCAAAAAGGTCGACAAGAAGACCGCAAAAGGCGAGAGACTGGAACCTATTACAAATCCCTTTCAAGGAGATCTACCTACTCCCGCATTCACAGATTCTGAACAAGAACGCGAAGAAGGTGAACTGTCTGGAATCTGTCAAGTTTGCACACGCCTGGAGCCGAACAGTGGAATTCTGCTGCAAAGAACAAAGAAATGAATTCGCAGACAATAAATTCTTGTCCAGCAAACGCAAGATTAAGCAAGCCAAAAAAATCGAAATGTTTCAGTCTGCGCAATTGTCTGGCGGGTAGAGCGGTTCAGATCTTCGGAATGTTCATCCAACCATCTATCTATGTGACTAATCAATCGTTTTAACTGTCATGCAGAGCTTAAAAACAACAGATAAATCCAAAACTTGTTCTGGCTGCGTCTAGCTCTCTGGTAGCTGAGCTGGCTTCTTGGTTTTGGAATCCTGGTCTGGCTTTAGACGAGATCGGACGATTCATCTGCCTCCGTGGTTTCTTGGACCGTGGCCTGGAATTCAATGCCTCCTTGGCTTCTTGGACTCTGGGCCTTCTTGGACTCTGCGGCTTTCTTGGACTCCTTGGACTCTGTAGCTTCCTTGGGCTTCTGTGGCTTTCTTGGCCCTCTTCCTCTTGTTGCGCATCTTCTGCTCTTTTGGCCACTAAGCCTCTCTTCTTTTCAATCTTCTTCTTCTCCTTCTGCAACCACCCAGAGCGGTCGACATGGTCATTTTTTTGGCGTGGTTGGGCCTCGGTGACAGCAGCTGCTGCGCTCTCTAGTCACTGTCAGAATCAAGAAAACAAGAACCTAAAACTGTAGAAAAACTCTTTGAAAAGATCAGAGGGTTGAGATTTTCAATGGACAAGACGGAAAGTAACTCACCCCCATTGCGCAATCTATTTTCAGATGTGCGTTTTTCCACAGTTTTTGGCAAGGGAGGCTGAAATTGCTGCAGATACCATGATTAGAAACGGAAATCCTCATTTCACGGTGTTTTAAGCACACAGATGCCATAATGCTGCAAATACCTCGCACTTTCTAGCACACAAAGCTGCCAGAGTTTCAATTGATTGGTGGTGTTGGTGTCGTCAACGGGAGACTCGCTGAAGACGGTCGCCGATATTTGAAATCGTCCATCATCATCCCACTTTTCATCTGGAGGTCCGACAGCTGGCCCGAAGAATTGTAAGGAGATCAGTGGGTAGGTTGCGTGCGAAGAGTGGGCCGCTGGCACCAAAAGTCTGACCAAAGGTGGGCGGTGGGTAAGATGTAAAGCCCACCATGTTGTTCGTCTGCGTGGAGTTTCGAAGAAGGCGGAATTCTTGGAGCACGTGTGGTTTTGGCAACGGAAAGTTACATCGGCAAGAGTGGGCGGTTCCAGGTCGACAACTTCCAATCTCCACTCTGGCAGCAAGATGCAGGCGCTCTCCAAGCATGCGAGCAACAACACAACACCTGATGCCGTGAGACCGAAAAACTCTGAAAACTGCAAAGCGTTCAGTCGTATCTAAGAGGTTTCAGTCTTTGGGTCCGGTTTGGGCTTTCTGCGTGTGACGACAGGAGCAGACAGCGCAGAAGCAAAGCACACGAGTTAAGCGAACCTACGTCCTTCCACCTTCTCCAAAACGCCGAAAGTGTTGGATCCGATCAGTTACCGCCACGTCGTGAAACAGGTTTGTTTTTCTGAGAAATCACTTTGATGCGGCCAAAATCTCTAAACACAGCCGACGCAGTAAGTCCCAAACCCTAAACGGCCTTTCACGTTGGTTTTGACCGTTGTGAGTTGGTTTCAACTGACAAACAGTCAGTCCGTCCGGGAGGACACTTGCTTCAGTCAGGAAATTGCAAGGCTTGAGGGCTTGTTCGGGTTTAGGCGGATTTAGACAAGGTAATGAGTGCACGGACTCCAGCTTGCGTCGTGTGCAAGGTGATTGTATCCTGAAGAAGAGCACAAATGGAGTCCTTGCGTTAAAACCCAAACGCGCCTTGAGGCACACTTCTAGGTTTGGTACAAGGGAGGTGCAAGCCGACTGACTGCCTACGTCAAGCAAGACTGGTCTTTACAGCAGTGAGAGCTAACAGCACTTTTACACCTTTCCACGCAACCAACTGTTCACCACGCGCTTGTCACGCAGTGCAAGGCTTGAGCCAAAGTGAAACGGGGCGCGGACAGAGACTTCAGCACACTCACTTCCGTGACAAGTCCTAAGGACTCCTAACGGCTTCTCTGCACTGGTAACTCTGCTCTATGGCCCTGGTGTTCCCCGGACTTCGTCTAGAAGTCCGCTCTCACAGCAAACAAACTGAAAACACTCTGATATTCATCATGCTTCAAGAAAACTTCAGGGAAACACCGTTCTTCGTGAAAACTCGTGAGGAAAACTCCGGTTGGACACGCTTCTGGGACTAAGCACTTTCACCGCAAGGTGAGACAGGAAGCGTGAGCGCAGCGACCGACAGACAGACAACTTTTCCCTACTCCTACCGTTCACGGCTACACCTAAGGTTCTCTAAAACTCACAAGGGAGAAAACAGAAAGTATTCCTGACCTTGGCGAGACACAGGGGCACCATTATAGGATTGAAAATCAACTCCCCCTCATGAACCTGTCGTCGAGAAAAGGTACCGGTCCAGTGGCTGCTGTTGCGTATTGGGCTCGTAGATCTTCTCACGGTCCACGGTAGCTTGATGGCTCTTCCAAAAATGGCTGCGGCTGTACAGAGAGGCGTCAGCACCTACCAAGCACTCAAAGCCCTAAGAGCTGTGTGAGCAAAAGCTTCGGGGTAGTGCTGGGTATTCTTCAGAACGAACATCTTACTGTGTTCGTGGTTTCCAGGGCACTTTAATTTATCCATGCAGTGAATGAGAACATGACTGTTCGAGCACAACCTCCAAACCTTCTTCACTGGAAGTGCGTCCATTCCAACCATGCCGCAAGCACAACCATGCGCAAGAGCGGTCTCATGCGGATTGATCTTAAGGAATGACTTCGTAGCGGACCATCCCCAGTAAGCACAACGCTGCGGCCATTCAATGACCCAAGTTGCCGAATCAGATGTGTTGACTAGCTTCAAGAAGCTCTTCCAGAGCTTTCTGTGGACTGTGAAGAGTCCTTTCATCCTTTCATCATAGTGATCTGCAGATCGGGCTTGGTGATAGCGCTGCCAAGGCGAACCACCGGTACAGGGCGTCGAAGCCCACACAACAACATGCATGTTCCGACGGTGTGCCGCACGAAGGGCGTGCTCAATGAGCTCGATGGTCTCTGGGAGAGTACCATCCGTTTCTTCCGTCACGGGAATAGCATGGATGCCATAATGTCTCTGAGTCCCTCTAGCAAGCGGCATTCCTTCGAACACCAGCTATTCAGAAGGCCCTTCTTGAGTTGCAACTGGTCCTTTGCATGCATGGAGCAGTGGGAGCTGCCCTACTTTTCTGTCGAACGGTGGGGGGAACTACCTTTTACACGGCTGCGGCTACCGCTGTCGGACTTAGGCCTGAGCCATGCCCATTGACCGGCCATACCTTAGCCCTTGCGAGACCCACCAAGGAAGCTGGGCGAGGTGGGCTCTGAACTGAACACAAGCTAGCTGCGGGACTCGAGCCGCGGGAATCACCCCTCCTTTGTGGACGGCCCTGCGCCTGACACCCCGGGTGGCCGGACTGCAAGCACGGAGTAGGGTCGTGTGTAGGGCTGCCAGCATGCCTGGCTTGCACTGGCCCTTCGTTGTTTTCGAGGACAACTGCTAGGCTGGGTGGGATGCACTGCTCTGCCCCACCACCTTTCGTGGCTGCGCTCCCCAAGGCAAGTCCGTGCTCCCGTTTAGGGGTTTCACTTTCTCTTGTCAGGTTTTGCCTGCGTACCTTGATCATCACCCTGGCGTCGCCCCCAGTGAGGCAGCTTGACAGGCTGCCCATGTGCGTGCTAACGGGCGTCTCTCTCATTGCTTGAATGATGCCAAGCATGAGCAGCACCATGGCACATCAAACCGGCCGCCGGGTTCACTGGTGACGACACCTACGCTATGGCATA